TACTCGTTTCTAAAAAAGTGGTATCGGTGCATCCCTAACTGCTATCATTATCCCTCCTGTCACTCACAGGGTAACGTCACATCGTTGGGTTCTTTTTTAATTTTTGACAGGAGATCGATAAAATGGAAAATAATACTTCCAAATAAAAGAGTGTGTTGTCTTCTGTTATCATCTCACTGTAACTGCTCTTTACCTGACTCTTCTACAGTGCTGCAGCTCCAGTGATGGCCAATGAGCCGGCCCCAAAAGTGAGGCCAAATGTACATAAAGTACATGCAAATGAAAAATACATGAGTCTGAAAAACAGTCTGCAGTGTAAAGACCTGACAAGGCTCCATCCTGCAAAGCTGATGCATCAGCTTCATTGGTCAGAACATCCTGAGGTCTGTTCGTTTTAATCCGTGTCTCAAAGTATTCAGACCATCATAAAGGTTTGAGGTACAAACATGTTTATTATTCTGTAATGTCTTTCCTCGATGTGAAAAAATATGAACTATAATTTCACAGTTTCATGTATGTTTCAGACAGAACTCCACATATATAGCTGTGACTTATCTATGTGCTACAAACATCCTTCTTTGGCTCTCGGAGGAGGCGGACGCACTTTTTCTCCTCTCCCTTATCTTCCCTGCTTATGTCCTTGTCTAGTCTCGTGTTTTTTTTTTGTATTTTCCCTGGAACACTCTCTCACAGTCTGCTCTCTAAAACCTAAAAGAGGAATTATGGATTGGATCAACTGGTCCCTAAATGCAATTGACACCCTTTCTCAACGAGAAGTTTGGGCTTGGGTGAGCCTGAGTGCTGAAGATATCTACCTATTTGGAACCATGGTAACAGGGTTCTGGCTGATCGGAGCTGGCTTGGCCCTGACTTATCGAAGAATTAAGAAAGCGGAACCGGCTGTTCAAACCCCCACAAGGCTGCCCGCTGGGATTGGAACGATGGGAGAGGCGTGAGTTTCTCAAAATGGGCTCATTGAGTCAGCACGGATAAGATCTTGGAGAGGCTACGGCTGCTGTGAATACTCAGAATAAGATCTCTGACTGCAGACTGGATACATCTCTGAAGGGCTAGCCCGGAATAACATCTCTGAGCCCAAATCGGATTACATCTCGGGGAGGCACACTGCCGTGAGTTCTCAGAATCGGCTCCTTGAGCACAAGAAATGACAACATCACAGAATGCAAGTATGGCGAAGCTCGCGGCTCTCCAACGGGAGGTTGAGAGACCAGTGTTGGACTGTAGAACTGCTTTGAAATTCATATGAGCTGTTCACACTAAAGTAAAAAATAACATCACTTCATGCAGATACCCTCTCGGCGCCAGCTGCAAGGCCGGAGCTGAACAACAACACCCTGATAACGACTGTGTTGAGTCTGTTCTTCCCGTTCCATGCAAGGCCACCTGGGTTGGCTGGAAGACTGTTTACTTAGCCTGGCAGGGCGAAGGACACTGTCTCAGCTGAACTATGGACACGCACGCACATACATATACTGATACTGATAAGCACTCACCGACGCATCACCCTCCCTACCCCGGATCCAACGCCACCTCCAACGCTTACCTCCCCTCTGATGTGGACATCGGGTCAGTTGGAGGCGCAGTCGAAGATTGCAGCGGTCCCAGATCAGATGTACACACTGGAACTCTTTCCCATGTTGCTGTCTGTGTTTATTGTGCTATGGTGTGTTGATATCTGTGCATTCCTGTATTATCCTTCTGTGTTACACATTTCCATGTTTTTTCCTCGCTACCTAGCCTGACCTGTCTCCCCAATGTGATGTTTGTGTATTGTATGTACGGTCGGCAAGGTCTGTCATCTCGGTTGTGGGCAAAAGACCTGAAACTGACAAATAAAGGCTATCTCATCATCATCTCATCTTTAAGACTAACGATACGCATGTTGAAGCTTTACGGTCAATCAGAGGCAGCAGGTGAGGTTTTGTCTCCTTGTTCAGAATCCAGCTGTAGTAAATAAAACTAAGTAGAAGCTCAGTTTTCACAAAAACTACAGTTTTACTTTGATTTTTACTTTTCAAGTTTTTGCTAGAACATGTTAGCATCCCTAACATCAGCAGCAGCCTCGTTCCAGTGCAGTGCAGTTTTCAGCAGCAGCATGGCAGCTGGGCTCAGGTGGTGACAGCATGTGTAGTTCTGTATTACACATCTTTGTTGATTAAAACATGAGAACAACAATGCAGCAAACAGGAAACACGGTTAGCTGTGATGTCTGAACATGCTTCAAAGCATCGCAGGGACACATCAGGGGGGCGGGCTTTAACCTGCTCTAAGACCCAGAGAGAGTGAAACATTCAGAACAGTAGAACTTTAAAAATAAGTAGATAAAAGGATCTTTTTACCAAGTGCAACAGGCGTCTCTCCCTGCTCCTCTCGCTCCAGGGTCTCCAACATGAAGACGATGTCAGAGAACGAGGGTCGACTCTCTGCGTTCATCTGAAACGACACAGACGAACAGTGTTAGGATGCAGACGAAGCTTCAGAAGCTCCCGGTCGTGTTTGGGTTGTGACCAATGACACACTGTGCGTATACTTACGTTACAGCAGGTCACGGCGAGATTAAAGAATGCTGGTGGGCAGTCCCCGACCATGTTCTCGAACGCATCCACATCCAAACCAAAGTCCTAGAGACAAACACACAGCTGGGAGAGTTAGCACAGTCTCAAAATGCTTCAGGTCAAACCTTTAGCCTGGATTAGGTCTAACATGTCCCACGCGTATGACTGGTTTTGGGTATACGTGAGCTAACCCTGTGTCTCTAGCTCAGGTGGGCCGACGACTAATTGGCAGGTTGGTGTTCAGCTGCATATCACAGGACACTGAACCTCCAGTTCCTCGACTGCATCCCTCACAGTGTGAATGTTAGATAAGGTGCCGAGCAAAGTGCTGTATGAATGTGTGTGACTGTGTGGACAGATTTATTTCCTACCTCTGTCCTCGGTAAAAAATCAGGATCAGCTTCAATCCGGCCAATGATCTCACACAGGATGATGCCATAAGCAAACACATCCACCTACGAGAGAGGAGGTCCCGTTAGTTCTGGCTGTGTTAGGGCTCCAACTAGATTTCATACAGAAGTCAAATTCAAAACCAGACGGATGAAACTTAGTCTACGTTCACACTGCAGGCGAAAGCGCATCAAATCTGATTTTTCTGACCCTCTGCGAC